CAGAACGGCCGGTCCAGGATTACTCAACATATCCTCACAGAGCTCCGCTTGGTATGCGGTTAGCAGTGAGGAAACGTTCAGAGCCCTGGCGGACAACGCTGCGGCTCTGTAGGACCGTTCAGTCATGGTCGACTGGAAACGGTCCATCTTCGCTGGCAGCGTGGGGTTCCTGCTTGGTGACGGGCCCATCCTCGGTAGGAGGATAGTAGTTTTGTATGCTCATCCGTGAGCAGAGCATCAAGTTGACATGTCTATTACAGCTGAATGTGGCGATTACCATTTTGTTCAGCAAAACGCCTCACAAACGTATTAAGATCAACAGCTTTAGTGCGTTTTGATTCAATGCTGAGTACAGCCAAACTGACAGTCTCTTCTCTGTCAGTGTAGACCGCAAATACCTCATTCCTTCAGTGCTTGGGTCCGAATGCTTCTCGTTTTGCACCGTCCTGTTCAAATGAAATCGCCGCCAATAGGCGCATTCACACCGCAGTACTTTTCCCACAAAGATTCATGAGAATTTAGTTCATGAGAACTCTTTAGTTCTCATGAACTAAGTACAGATCGCGTTCACACCGGAATAAGTCCCTGGGGGTGGATTAGGCAAATGAAGCCGCTGACGTCACTTCTTCTTCTTCTGCTTTGGGTTTACTGGCAGGCCGCAAACCACTTCACGGCGTATACTGCCGCCCAAAGTCCCCGGCCGGAAGTCCCCGGAGTTGGGGACTGGCTTCAGTAGAAGCTGCTGGGACTCCCAGCAGCTTCTACTGAAGCCTTCCGAGTAAATCGCCAGAACGCCGACACCCTCCTCATCTCCACCGCTCCCATGTTTTATTTGTGTTGCCATAAGTTAGTCTCTCTGCGTTTCTGCGCTGGGCTAATGCTAATGCTAATAATGCTAATGCGAGGATAATAAAATGGCGGCTTCACAAAACTTTTTGGGAGTTTTACGGGGCGTGGTTTGCAATCCGCCCAGCCAATCAGACATAGGAACCTTTTTCTCCCACGAAAGTCCCTGCTCTCTAGAGGCGCATTCACACCGCAGTACTTTTCCCACAAAGGTTCATGAGAACTTAGTTCATGAGAACTCTTTTGTCGCGTTCACACCAAAAAGAGCCGGTACTAAAATTTGTTTATGAGAACCTTTTTACCCCCATGAAAGTCCCTGCTAGAGAGCAGGGACTTTCGTGCGGCTCTCTTGTGAGAAAATAGCTATATTTCTGATTGGCTGGGCGGATTGCAAACCACGCCCCGTAAAACTCCCAAAAAGTGTTGTGAAGCCGCCATTTTTATTATCCTCGCATTAGCATTATTAGCATTAGCCCAGCGCAGAAACGCAGAGAGACTAACTTATGGCAACACAAAATAAAACATGGGAGCGGTGGAGATGAGGAGGTGTCGGCGTTCTGGCGATTTACTCGGAAGGCTTCAGTAGAAGCTGCTGGGAGTCCCAGCAGCTTCTACTGAAGCCAGTCCCCAACTCCGGGGACTTCCGGCCGGGGACTTTAGGCGGCAGTATACGCCGTGAAGTGGTTTGCGGCCTGCCAGTAAACCCAAAGCAGAAGAAGAAGAAGTGACGTCAGCGGCTTCATTTGCCTAATCCACCCCCAGGGACTTATTCCGGTGTGAATGTGATCTGTACTTAGTTCATGAGAACTAAATAGTTCTCATGAACTAAGTTCTCATTAACCTTTGTGGGAAAAGTACTGCGGTGTGAATGTGCCTAATGCGCCTTAGCAGGGATTGAAAAGGGGGTAAAAAGGTTCTCATTAACTAATTTTAGTACCGGCTCTTTTTGGTGTGAACGCGACAAAATAGTTCTCATGAACTAAGTTCTCATGAACCTTTGTGGGAAAAGTACTATTGATGTGTCGGTCGCGAACGAGTCAAAGAGCCGGCTCTTTTAAGTGAACGATGGGAGCCGGCTCTCGCCCGCGAACGAGACATTTTTGCGGAGGGATCTAGATCGGCATGAAGGCACATTATGCAATGTGCACATTATCCCGCTTATTACATGGCCACATTCTCAACAAAGTAACGACATGACTCCCAATAGTAATGGAAATGCTTTTATGGATTTAGAAAATGATTTTATTGATTTAAAAAATAGTTTTATGTATTGATTTAAATTGACATGCATCCGCTAAGAAAAGTAGTCCGTTGTTACTGTTTGAACTAACGTAGCAACGGCAGGAACTGCTTCGATAGTGTTTTTGAGGAGCTTTTTGATTACAGATTTGAAAACATCGTTGCTTGCTTTAAAAGTAGCACAATTCATTATGTCAAACCTTGGAAAGTATCTAGATATCCCTGCCCTAATGCCAAAGTAACTGGCAACTGAATATGTGTTGCCGTTTGATGTCTATGTCTGGACCGCTGCCCCATTACTTCTCTTACTTCTATAAAAATAAAACACGGAGGACGGAGATCTCTTTTTCTCCCCCTCTTCTGACAGCCCAGCAGCTGATCTCAGAGCACGCTCCCCTCTCCTGCAGGGGGGCGTGGTCAGCTGCAGCTCACAGAATCAGCCCCCTGCAAAAACAGCGCTGGAAAGAGCAAATAGAGCAAAATGAGGCATGGCTAAAATGCAGGATCTTTTTGGTATTTTGAAAAAAAAACTATATTTATATACTTTATATAGGTCGATACAGTAGCCCCTTTTTTTAAATAGTTTTTATAGGTGTTGTTATCTGTTTTGTGTAGCGTGGTTCTACAAGCAAGTCAACCGGGGGAGGGGTTACATGACGTGCATCTTGTGCTGCATTCACTTACACTCGGACATTAGAAACTTTCTCTCATAAATGTCCGATGAGCCACAACTTTTCTTTCAAAACAAAGCTGCCAACTGGGGTGTCAGCTGGGGTGGCAAGGCCTATTTTTAGGGTGTCAGTTGCCACCCCGGTAGGTGAAACTAGGCTACTAGCTACAGTACAGATGGAACTAGATGAGCTGTTAACTCTCGCTCTGAATTTTTTTTTAAAACTCTCGCTCTGACTCAGACAGGTTGAAAGAGACCATGGATGTATAAAGAGACACACACATTTTCCCCACCCGCATTCCGCGAAGACCCGCCCTACTGTGCCGCTGATTCGCAGATTGTTTGTGGGGAAAAAACGCTGACGGGATGCTGAATGTGATTGGACCAATGCGTTGACAGACACACACAGACAGTGGATCAGGACATGCAGACCGCTGTTTGCAGTCTATGGACATAGCGGATCATTTTGACTCGTTGCGTTGTGGCGATGTCTCGCAGATAACACAGATAATACATATAAAAAGTATAATTTGCTCAGAGTCCAGAGACAGTTGTGGTTGTGTGTTAGTTACATCTCTTTAACGCTTGATGTTAAAGTAATCATGCTTTTACTACAATGTTTGCTTAATCCTCAACTGAACACTGACTAATTAACTAGGTTTACAGTGAGAAACATCCATCATAGCAAAAGGTTCTCTTGTGTTATCAAAACATTGTTAGTTTTAGAAAATAAAAAATGGCAAACATGAACTCAATAGATAGTTAAAAACGGCATAGACGGATTTGGGTGATATTGACTAGGGTCCCCTCAGGACCCAAACAAGAAGAATAAAAAAGCAAAAACTAAAACAGAAAACAATTATATTAATTATTAACAGTTTGATTGAGTCGTTAAATATTTGCATGATAGAATAACGCACCTGTGAGATTTGCTCCATTGTGGTAGGCCTATAGCTACTCAAATAACTAAATTAAATTGAGCAGCAAAACAAAGAAATGAGAGACAAACAGGGGTTTGAGGTTAACTGTGTAGTTGACAAGTTCAATCTTTCATTCATGGTTGTGTTCAGTGAGAAGGCTTGCATGTGCATTACTCAGTATATTTGTCCCCAGTGCATGTTCTTGGCTTCCCCTCTATCGGACCAGCTGTGCTGCAGGCTGGAGCCGGTCCAGTGTGCATGTGTAGAGTAACCAAGCAGGGTTTTAGGCTGTTTGAGTTGTGTGAGAAGGAGGGTGACAGGCCACCTGCCATAGGGGCTTGCCCTGTTCAGATCCCCAGCCCTGCCTTTCAACTGGGAGCCAAGTTAGGGTTCTTTCATGTGGGCCTGATCTCCTTAAGACGTCAGCAAATATTGAACAAGACTCAGTCCAGACTCAAACACATCTGTTGTCATATAGTCTCTACTGTTAGGCACAGACATGGAGAGAGAGAGAGAATGAACACCAGTGGGTCTGTTGCATTAGCTTCCATGTGTGGACAGAAAGCTATACTTTATACTTTGCAAACACAAATGCTCACTCTCGACGAGCTTAGGCTAAACCATGTTCCACTGTAAACAAATATGGGGCTGTGTGAAATAGTTTGAGTTTGGTATGACAAGGCGGCCACTGACTGCCAGATTCGTGCTGAAGATCAGACATGAGATAAGACGATCAGATAGCCAACATTTCATATGCCTCAGCCATGTTGTAGAATCCATCAACAGTATTTTGGGAGCGTTTTGGACAGATAAGAAGGCCAGTTGTATTGTAGAATTAGCATAGATTATGGAATTAAGAGTTTTTCTCAAATACTTGGAGCCTTAAGAGAATACATATTAGAGGAAGTGTAAGGCATGTCAAACTTGAAACAGACAAAAGCCCCAGAAATGCAAATACATATTAAAATCAACAATAAACAGATTCACAGGAAGGGAATAAACAGTCTGTAAAACTTAGTCTACTGTTAGCTCAACTGTTTTAGCATAGTTTCGGTTCTTCACTGTGCATTTAATGTCATGCAACTGTGTCATGGTATCATTTATTTGTTTCTGATCCCACATAATAGAAGTAATGCTCTATTACCCACCACAAAAAGACTTGGGTAGGACTCATCCCTAGACTGTGTCATTCTCATAGTCGTTGAAACTCGTCCTTGTGTGACTGGTATGGCTGGTTTTACCATGTTTTGCCTCTCCACCAATCAGCTGCCTTCAAAATTCTCCTGAAGAAGAAAAGGACACTGACTACAGGTTGTATTGCCTGAAGTACTTCCTCTTTGACCTCATAGTTGGGATGGTTGTGCTGCCTCCTTACAAATGTGTTGTTGCTCTCGGTGGAGACTGATTCAGTGTGTTGGTTTTTCAAGCTGTACGGCAGTGGTCGACTGAGCAGGTATAGTACTTGTTATTATTATACTGCAATGTAGTATTACTTGGGTCAAGTAGTTTATTCAGAAATGTTTATGTTATCAGATATTAGGCCTCAGCACTATTGGTAAGATAGCCTCTCACCTTTGTTTTGTTTTGCTGATTTATTGTAGTTTAGATAAGCATTGTTTGTGTATGCTGACAAATCCTTGAAAGTGCTTAATCTGACATTGTGTTGATACTTCTTGACCTAAAGTCCCCTCTACAGTAATGAAGAGCCTTTTTGATATTTTATTTGAATAAAAGTGTTAAGCTAAGGAAGAAAAAAATGGGAAAATATTGTTTTTAGATTTGTTTATTACCTTTATCAGTGAGAACTCTGGTACATTTAACATTTGACTGTTGTAGTTTACATACATTTTAATTGACTGCATCTTCTTTATATAGTACTTTACTGCATTGTCTTTGGCCTGTTTGTATGTAACCTTATTCTATTTATTTTTATTTTCAAGTCATTGCTCAAGATGGAGGTCAAGAAAAAGAACTTCTTGGGGAACCTGCGTCTGAAAACTAAGCTGGTCAACCTGAAGAAGCCTGGGAGAAAGAAACTAGGAAGAAAGCTGGCCCATCGGCGCAGTATCTCTGTACCAGACCTCAGGTTTGTGCCAGACGAATCATTTCCTGCTGACAACCCCGATGGGTCCACTCCCTCTGATGCCATCTTTTTTGGCCACTCCCCTGGTCAAAGTGATTCTGATTCTGTTGCAAGTGGCTCGATCGTTGATGGACAACACATCACAGACAAACCATACGATACAGTCTCAGAAAATCAACTCCTCAGAGTTCCCAGAGAACGCACGGCTGCTGCTTTAAAAAGAATAAGCGCACCATCGGGGTCACAGAGCCTTTATGATGAAATTGATCAAATGTCATATACAGGCTCAGAGATCAAGCTGAATATTGCTCGAGAAGGCTTGTACGCTAAAGTCAACAAAGGAGCCAAGGGGAATGCACCTAAATTCCCCTTTGACCCTATTCTTCGACCAAAATCTCCTTTCCCAAAAGCACTTTCACCAAGACCAGACCTGGTAGAGAGAGAGAGTGTCTCTGGTGAAGACGCCACAGCAGACAGATGGTCATCAAGTGCTGTCGCTGCAGTTCTGGCCAGAGCAAGCTCAATGGGAGACCAAATTAACCCTTACAGAGATAAGAGGCCCGCATCAGTTGAGTATAAAAAGTCCTCCTCTGAGAAAGGAACTCCACTACAAACCAGAGTAGCTCGTGCGGATACAATGTCTCCGATGTTAGATACTCTGGGTACTCCTTTGGAGAGGTCAGATGGAACCTCTCAGGGCTCTACCTGTGGCTCTCCCAATGACGAACAAGGCAATATGCCCTGGACAACAGATTCGGAGGACCTGGACCGAGAACTTTGCTCTCCCTTTCTGATGGGAGACTTCACCAACGAAGAGATTCTGCTAGAAGAAATACGAAAAGAGGAGGCCTTGGAAGAAACCGCAGAGGTCAGTTTTATTACAAGTTTATTTAATTACATGTATAAGAGGACGACCCTGTTCTTAATTCAAGTCAGAATGTAGGCCAATGTACACCATGATATGTTTGTATTCAGATGTAAAATTTGTGATTTCCTTTCGTGATGATGAATCAATCTGGACAGCCATCCCCTTCTTTGTAGATACCATACAGTCATTGTTAGTGTCCCTTCTGTTGTATGAACTTAGATGTCAGCTCTTATGAAAGAGTAATCTTCAGCCCGACAAACGCCATGACATCGGCATTTATTTTCTAAACTTTAGCTCAGGCTTTAGGTTTTGTCACACTTTATCATTACCTACAGACATATTGTACGATCATTTAATTGTGACGGTTACTTTCATCTAACTGGTGCTAAATATGAAAGCAACCCATATGATGGGTGTAAAACACAAAGTGACCACATGGAATTTGACTTTATACAACCCTGAAACAAAAGCAATTTTTTCTCAAGATGCCTCCAAGATACCAGTCAAAAACCTGTGTTACCAGTTACAAATATGTGTGTACCCCGGAGAGCTCTAGTAAACTTAAAAAAAGAGACTGATAATATCTTACTGTTACTTTACTGTTGTGAGGAAGTATTTACATAGTGTAATCACCAAGCAATCAATGCTTGGTTCCCTAAAACACGTATCTATTGCCAGGACGAATAAATGAGTATGTCTCGAAATAAATAAAGACATTTTTGCTTAAAATTAAAGCAGTAACACAGTAGACATCTCAGCTTAAGTGAACTTTTTATGAAGTGTTTGCATTCAGATGATTCAAAATATATGTAATTACAACATTTTTCCATGTAGATGTCCAGTGAAACATGCGATTTATTTGACGAAAACATGCAAGATATTCTGGAAAGCTCTTCTGTGAGTATCAATTGCACTTAAATTAGGTCAAGGAAATGGTACGAGAAAGAATATAAATGTGAATGGTTCTCTGGAGCAGGTTGTAACTGGGGAGACGGACATCCAGGGACCCCTACCCTGCCAGCGATACCTCCTGAGCATCAACCTGAAGCAGGGAAGGAACCTGGTCGCCCGAGCCAAGCGGTCTGGTAGGTCAACAACAAGCAGGTCATCAATAAGTAATTTTTTTTTTAAGTCTGTACTTTGACAATATTTACTAACTTTTTTTAAGAAACAAAAACAGTTTTTTTTTTGCATCAGTACCCAATAAAAGATGCCAAATCAGATTTATTGCAGTAACATTAAAGATTGAACCTCATATTAAAAGGTGCAGGAACATACAACTTGTATTTATAAGCCAACCAGACAGTGAAAAGTAGTTAATAGGTAAAAGGTATTTTTGTATAAGGAACATGGGCTGTGTTCAGTTAATGCAATTGTTTACCTGTAAGAATGAAACAACATGTCACCTGGTAAGGAAGAACATTCACTGGAGAAGTATGCAGTCAGACCAGTAGGACAGACAGACTGAAAGGGATACAACAAGTAGGCTGTTTTTAAAGAGAACACCTCATCTGAACAGGAAACTACGGGTGTTCCCACATTTAAATAGCTGGAACATTTAAATCGTTTCTTAGGCGTGGATGGTGGAGTCATTATTTAATTGACATTTAAATGGACATCATTTATTGCTTCATGGCTGGTAATCTCTCTTAATACAAAGCCTGTGAATTATACGAACATGTTGTTATATCATCGATAGACATTTTAAATCTACTAAGAATATTACAGGTCAGATCAGTTTTTCTTCTAAATGATTTTGCTGATGTCTTTAGTTTTGATTTTGAAATCAGTTTTCAAATGTGCTGTGTATGTGGGATATTCTATTAATGTTTACATCCTAATGCAGTCCATTTTGACATGTTGTCCTTGGTTATTATTCATTGTCATATCCATGTATAGAAATTCTGAAGGATAATTCAGATTTTACACATTGAAATGAATTGATTTCATAACTGATTTATCGAGTGACCATAATAATCTGTGAGAGAGAAAGATTTTGGGAAAGCAGCGCCCTCAAGTGGCCGGACGTGGAACTACAACATGAACAATTTATGTGTGGCCTAAAAAAAGTTTAGGTATTTGCTTAAAATATAAGTTCAGCCATTTATATAGTAATTGGTTAACTTTAAGTATAGTTCAAGACAATTGTTAAAATTGGCCATTTAAGATTGATAAAAGCATATCATAGTTGATGTGATATGTCAGTATTTCAAAGCATACATACATCTTATTTAATTGAAATGTAATTGCTTAGGATATTCTGTACTTTTAACCAGTTTATGTGTTGCGTGATGAAAAAGGTAAAAGGACTTCCTTTTAAATCTGATCAACTTTTTTTCACCATCCTGGTGGCGGAAGACCCTCCTAGCCCAGTGCCCTTCTCCCTTCTAGTTGAGACCTTACTTTCCCTGACAAGATGGCACCGTGATGATGCAATCCCCACACGCCCCCTGTCTGTCCGCTGTTTGCCCAACAATCAACACCGTGCCAAAGGCTCACCAATGGCATACATTGTCATTACATATTCTGAAAGGACCCACGCCACCAGCCCCCACTCCTAGGTTTTTGTTCTCCTTTTTTTTTCTCCATTAATTTCCATCGTCACCGTTCTCAGTCATGCCAGAGCTTTTCTCCTTGCTAGCTGCCACATTCTCCTCCTGTCAAGTTGCCTGGAGGTTTCCCTGTCACAGGCTGGCAGGGTGGAGCTGCTGTGGGTCCTGCCTGCCTTTGCGAGATGTTCATTTGGAGTGGGGAGCTGACAGGCCTGACAGCCCATCCCCACAGGGCCTTTGTCATGTGATTCAAGCCTCCCTGCAGGCTCTCTCAAGCACCCCTTTATTCCCCTATACAAATGAAGGCATGGGACTGGCTTTCATTTTTTGGCCAATCTGCATGCAATTGCAGAAACAAAGAAGTCCCATACCCCCACCCCACTCGCAGACAGACTTTCTTAACAGGCTTGGGAGATTAACACTGGTTGCTTCTAGATTTTGGTTCCTGGTTGCCTCATGCTGGCGAGTGTTTCTACTCTTTCACAATTAAACAGCTACATCCCTCTGATTTTGCCATGTGTGGGGTGCACCTCCTCCTCACATATTTCAGTCTCTCACACAACCAGCATGGGGGAAGGGTATCTAAGTGTGTGTGGTCATGTGTGTTTTCATACACAGTGTACATTTTTTGACAATATGTTCTACAAGCAGTAAACATAGTTTGCGTTAAATTATTAACTTCCACCATAGATTGCTATGTTATTCAGTGTTATGTTGTTTATATAATAACTTAAAACTTAAGGTAATTATCACTTGTGTCACACAACACTATCTTGCTGATTTGTTTTTCGTTTTTTCATTTTAGGGACCAGTGATCCTTATGTGAAGTTCAAACTTGAAGGAAAACAGTTTTGTAAAAGCAAAGTGGTTTACAAAAGCCTAAATCCGCGGTGGAATGAGACCTTCTTCCACGCTCTTCGAGACAGAGAGCATGACGTGGAAGTTCGGGTAGGTGTTTGTTTGAAAAGAGGGCCGAATCTTGCGCGACAACAGTGATCCTGTACTGGAGCACACCATTTCTGTTAATAATCTGAATGATGTTTGTTATATTGTTGCAGGTCTTTGATAAAAATAGAACTGCTGATGAGTTCATGGGTTCCAGCACTATTTCCTTGAAAAGTCTTGAATTGTACAAGTAAGGAATATATTTTATATTTATATTTTAGGGCATAGATTATCAAAAGGATACCAGTAGGTGGTCTTAAGTTTTAAATTGTCATGTCTTTTGTGTCTCGTCACAGAACATATGAAATGGAGTTGCGTCTTGATGATCCAAAAAGTAAAGAAGATGACATGGGAGTTATTATTGTTGACATCTGCTTGATGTTTAGAGATGCCACGATCAAAAGAAGCCCAGTAAGATTATTTTTCACAGTATTTTTCAGTATTTGTTGTTGTAGTGCATTGGCCCCAGCCTTGCTTGAATTACTTGTACTGATTCATGTATTTTCCTTCCAATAGAGATGGCCACCGAGGAAGAATAAGGTATGGAATTTTATACCATTACATTTACTTTTTGATATAGTCATTTATAATTGAATCCAGAATGCCACCTTGAGTTCAACATTTTAATTTACATGGCAGTGTGGTTACGGTTATCCTGATCTATACCACTAGGGGGCAGTATCTCACTGTACTATGGTGCAACAAAGAGTGAGGTGTATGCTCAGGATGAGGGCTTTTGTGTGTAACCTTGGTTTCAGCACAGCCTGTTTCTTTTGTGGTTTTATCATGAACCTTTTTTGCAATACATATTATTTTGAGTGGCAACATTAGCTGAGAATAAAAATTATGGAACAATATTACATTCTGATAAAAAAAACAAAATAATAATATTGACTGAATACGCTGTCATGAAGGAGCCTTTAGATGGGTATTTTAGAGCAGTATTTGGCTCTGTAGTAAATAAAGTTCCATCTCCTCTCAAGTGGGTTTCAATATATTGCAGCTGTAATTAGATTTAGAGTGAAATAGGAGGGTTGCTGTTTGGGACTCACACTGCAGCGAGTGGGTTTATATTCACACCTATGTAGTCACTACATCTGCCACTGTTCAGTCTCTTGATGGTCCAGTAAACAATCTCAATTTAAAATTAGATAACAAAGGAATGAAGCCATTTTCATACACATTGCAGGTTATCCGCTACAGATGGTTAAAGATACTCAAAGGGAGACAGAAATGTGTGATGGGACTCTTCACAATGTTCTGCTGCCTAAATCACAGTGCTAATTTAACAACGTAACAATGCCATTTTTTTCCCATTTCATTTTTGACAAACGTACAATATCTCATGCATTTAACACCTATCCTGGAAGTGCTGAATACCCAGCTCTTACAGCTCCACTCCCCCTCTTACAGAACCTCGTTTCCTCCCTCTGTGTTACCACCACAGAGACAGGGAATGGCAAGTGCCTGAGTAAAACTCTGCTGTGTGATAGTGTTTCAAACAGGAGGGGGCTGTATGGGAGAGGCGGGAGGGGGGCTCTGCTGTTCGAGGCATGTTGCCAGTGTGGGATGCCTAAGATCGGCAATGCTGATAATTCCCAGGCATAGCGGGCAATAACCCAGATGTTAGGATGTAATATCACAGCTGTGGATGGACAGTGCTGAGGTACCCGCCAAATGGACCTGGGTCTGAGCTCATCGTGCTTGTCCCCATGCTGTCCCACCATATGGAAGCAATCGCACGGCCCTTTTAGGACCAGGAATAGATTCTCTTTAGGGGCCACTTACAGTTAAGTGGAATTGTTTTATTGGCCGCTGAGATAGAAATGTGTCCAAGATAAACACTTGGGATGACTTGGCTGAGGCCTGTTTTATATCGCTCCTCCACTCCCTCTGTTCCACTTCTTTTGAAGGGGCTGATATTTATAGGGCTGTGCCTGTGGTATTCCATGTTAATTCAGGTCCCTGAGATGTGCTTTGATCCCCTCCGGATTGGGTGGCAATGTGGGTTGTGACCCAGCAGTGAAGAGGAGGGGCCGGAGTGGCAGGGGAGTTGTAGTGGGGCTGTTTGAAGCAGCGTCGCCAGGGCAGTGGAAGGAGCTGGGCAATCAAAGAGGCAAGAGCAGATTACGGTCCTGCTCTTTAATTACAGTCCGCCCTACACAACCTCTCTGCTGTTTGTTTTTACAGCCCTGGCCTATTACCGCATGGCCTCACGGGAACTCTAACATGGACACATATCAAGGCCTCTCTCTCTCTCTCTCACTCCCTCTGTGACACACGGCAGGAGAAGTCCATTATTTGCTGGGCTTGTCCTTGATTTCCAAAGAGTTCTCAAATGCACAACATCTACAGTATGTTAGTTTTGTAGAATCACTTGAGTAGCAACTATTTATTATTTTGCTAGTTAAATAAATATTGGTTGAATTTGCCAACATGCAGTAAACTCTGATGCAGGCCATACATACATACATACTGCATGTATGCATAATTTGCTGATGAGAGAGCTGTGCGGTGTGCATCATTACTCACTGCTGCCTGCTGTCTCTTGTGCAGTATGCCAAGTGTCCTGCCTCCCCACACTCAGTCTGGGAGCCAGTGATGAGTGGGACTGTCACAGCCAGGGACATCTGGCTGCTCGCTGACGTCCCTCTCTTCCTCGCACTCCAGGAGCCTCCATGGTGTGGCTTACCTGTCAGTAGAGATGTGCTAATGTGCTCCAACAGAGATGTGCTGTATAGTGTGGACCTTTGTCCTACTTTCATGCACTCTGTGAACATGATGAGGTGCCAAGCTGAGGCAGGAGCTGGTATACTGAGGGGGAAGCAGAAAGCGTCCACACACAAGGAGCTTTTAGGAAAAAACTGTCTGTGTGTGTCTTTGCCCTGCAGCAGAACCCGGCCCCACCAACCCAGCGGCCAAGTGAGACGCAGAGAAATCCGCTGAACAACCAGAAGTGGACAGGAGTGCTCCGTGTCACCTTGGTGGAGGGACTGGACCTGCCGCAGTATGGCGACGGGGACATCTACGTCCGCTTTCGACTTGGTGATCAGAAGTACAAAAGCAAGGTTGGACTTTATTTTTTTCTTAAAGTCTTTACTTCTCCTCTCCTCTTTCCCTTTAATGTCTGCTCTTTATACTTCAAGTCTTCCCTCCCAGCCCCTATCTCTTACTTCCCCGCTTCCCTGTCTCAGCAGGTGCCTGTCAGTGACTCACCTCCACCTTGGCTCACTGGGCCATGGCAGAGGCAGCTCATTAGACTGGGCAAGGCTGCCACTCACTTCTCCCTATGCTTCGGGTGCTGGGCTTCATTGCTCTCATTTGCATACCCAGCATGCCCTGTTCATCTACCTGTACTTGTTGGCCTCCCCCCTGATGATTCTACGGTGCACTTGTCTTGTGTTGTCGTGTCATTTCTTTGTAAACCTCTCTGCTTTCCTCTCTGCTTGTTTGTTTGTTGGACAAAGCTGATTCTAATTGGAAGCTGTCAGTGTTTACAATCCCAGAGTGGCTACTGAGGTGTACACATACAAGCAGACACAAATAGAGACACATACACACAACACACCTCTCTTTCTCCTCTCCTGCTTCGTTCTGGTTGGACTGAATGAAGCCTTAATCCACCTGTCATGCAGGAGCTGCTCAGTCTGATAATGCATTAAAGCTGTCATTGATTCAAAGTGTGTGTGTCTGTGTGTGTTTCTGCGTTACTTTATGTGCTGAATCTGTGTCTCGACTGCCCTCAGAACATCTGCGTTCAGGCCAATCCCCAGTGGAGAGAGCAGTTTGACTTCAATCAGTTTGAAGATAACCAGGAACCTCTGCAGGTGGAGGTTTACTCAAAGAGAGGGAGGAAGGGTGAGGAATCATGGGGGATGTAAGTATTTCCATATGGGTAGTGTTAATTTTGCTCACATTGGCTCCTCCACAGAACTAATTGGCCTTATGTGTTTCTATGGTACTATTTTCCTTGTGTGTCTCAGGTTTGAGATTGCCCTATCGAGACTTCCACTTAATGAGAGGCAGCTCTACACTCATGTGCTGGACCCAGGAAAGGGCAGGCTGGTGTTTCTGGTCACCCTGAGACCCTGCTGGGGAGTCTCCATCTCTGACATTGAAACAGCTACCTTGGAGAGCCCTGATGAGAGAGACACAGTAGAGAAAAAACTCGTAAGCTATTTTTTGTCTAAGTTCATGCAAAAAAAAAGCCCCCCAAATGTTGGCATTAAATCACACCACTATTACAGTTCAGTAAGAAATACAGATATGTCGTGAATGATATGTCATGTGTTAACAATGTAGCTTGATGTAGTACATTAATCAACCATGCTCATAAATGGTGTTGAAAAACTTTTATTATTTATCTTTTCCAGAGCCTTAAGAACACACACAAGTGTGTGGGAGAGGTTGGTTTCCTTCAGGTCAAAGTCATAAAGGCAAATGATCTTCCTGCCACAGACCTCAATGGTAATTCTGTTACACTTCTCTGTTTTTCTATCATCACTATCAGGGCTTTTTGTTTACATAAATAAACACACTTTTTAATGATTTTCAGGCAAAAGCAACCCTTTTTGTGTTGTTGAGCTCGGAAACAGCAAACTTCAAACCCACACATTCTACAAGACCGTCAATCCAGAGTGGAACAAAGCCTTAACATTGTATGTGGGAAAGAAATTGTATCAACATTCATATTATTATGTTGTATATTGTTGTTTGTTTTATTGCGAATTACATGTTTCTTAATTGCAATGTTTCAGCCCAATAAAGGACATTCACGATGTGATAGAGTTGACTCTCCTCGATGAAAATGGAGACAAAGCCCCAAACTTTTTGGGGAAAGTAGACATTCCATTACTGACCGTAAGTGTGTTTAAGATTAGCCGATACATACTACTGTGACTGTTTTTAGTTTGTCCCGCGTAATAATATCTGTCACAAAATACACATTTTTGTTTCTCTAAAAGGTTCAAAATGGGCAGCAGATATGTCTGTTGTTGAAGAAAGAAGACTTGGGAAGTGCATCAAAGGGAACAATCACACTGGTGCTGGATGTTATCTACAATAAAGTAAGGATGACACTTTATTTGTTCAAGCTTGTTTGAAAATGCTGATGTTCCATATCATATCATTAATGGCAGTGTGTGTTTCTTGGTTCCAGGTCCGAGCTGGTATCAGAACCTTTAAACCAAAGGAGACAAAACTAATGGAGGAAAACCAGAAATTCTCCAAAAAGGTAAAAAATGTAGCAGATGGATTAGAAAGACTTGCCAGTATGTTTCCCTCACATCCCAATAATAAAGTAGCAGCAACAAAGCTACACACGGTCGCAGTTTGGATCGGACATAGTCAAACTCATTTGTTTAACTGGCTTTAATCATCTAATTTCACAAATAGCAAATAGGGGATTGTAAAGCTGATTGAAACTCATTGCAAAGTCATAAACATTATGTCCAGAATCAAAAGATACTAACAGTGTTTTTTTCCAATTATTTCCGATTAGGTTCTTGCCCGGAATATATATCGGGTTCGAAATATCAGCACAGCAGTTCTGTACACGTTACAGTACATTAAAAGCTGTTTTCAATGGGAGAGCACGCAACGGAGTCTAATAGCCTTTCTGGTAAGTCATTGCCTCACGTTAATGAACTCTCTTTAAGCCTTGGGGCGAACAAGTTTTGTCCCATTTCACTGCAACCCAGTTTTAACTCTTCCATTTTATGTGAATTAGATCTTGGGGAGAATCTTTGGGTTAGTCATTTTCTTTCCTCTGCTCATCTTTTTCCCATGAAAAACAATGGCTACCTTCTGTTTTTATCCCATGCACATTTGATGGATGTGCTCTATCCTTTAAATCAAACCCCACTTGGCTTTCCTTCAGTTCTGATGACATTAGAGTGTATTTGAAGGGGTGTGGTTTGGGCGTTTGTACATCTGACTTCTTAGTAAAGCCTCTTCGCCCGGGGGACGGTGTAAGAAGGATCACAGTCTCAGCTTCCTTGGGTGGAGGAGTGACAGTCTGCCTCCGAGATTTGAACCTTGTTTAAATGTCTCTGTTTAGCTGTTTTTAATGAGGGTATGTGATCTAAGGTCCTAAGCTTAAATAATCTTAAATCACCCTGTGAATCCCCCTCAGTACAGCACATGTAATGTCATGATTAAGAGTGTACACTTGCCATGAAAGCCCTGCCAGCGCCGTGTCAGGGTGAGGAAGCGGTCACAGACAGGGTGTGTGAAGAACTCTCCTTTCACCGCCTTTCTTCTGTCTGCTCTGTCTCAGAATGACATGCAATTCATACCTGGCGTATTCTGTAAGCCCTTCTCACTGATCCTGAGGTGCAAATCCCCCCAGGCAATGGCCAGGCTCAATGTATCACTGCCTTTAGAACAGCACAGGCACACAGACAGGCCGGCGGACACACAGACAGGAAGACGGAGAACAATGCGGTTGATTGTATAAGGACAGAGTGGGAGGCAGGCTACTATCTGGGAAAGAAAGTTGGAGCACAGAGAGAGGAAGACAGTTGGGTAAGAGTGCGGTGGAGGAAGGCAGATAGCGAGAGACTTGGAGGCGGGGATATGGCCAGGAGAGCAGTAGGATAGGCAGGCTGACAGGTGACAGGTCAACGGGACGGGGCCATCTTCCTCCACCTATAATTAGATCCTCCGCAGGCGATGGGAGTGTGTGGTAGCACTCTCTAATCTTTCATTTCCACTTCTGCTCCACCTGCTGTTTAGGAGTGCAGCACACAAATGGAGATCTTAGAATGACGGGGGAAAAAGCCTCCCTCACTATTTTCATAAGGATCATCATTGTGACTTTAATGTAGTGCTTCCCAATCTTATTTTTGTCGACAATGTATCATCCGCTCCCTGTCAGTGCGGATGGTAAATCCTCTGACATTAACTGTAGATGCTCTTCCTTTTTATCTGAAACAACTGCTCTGTATTCAGACACTCACACCAGCACACTGGTTGATAATTTTTAAAAGCAGACAGTACTGCAAGTATTCAGAGAACGCCTTTTGTCTGCCACGAGGTGCGCTTCAAATAGTGTAAGTGTCGAAGGTGCACGGCGAGCTCCGCACAAACGGATTGAATCTGCCACTGTGTATTCATCACCCACTCACCAGCAGACTGAGAGTTCAACGAGTGAAAAGTTATATTTTTTTCAATTACTTATTATATTCTCGACAAGTTACAAGCACAGCAAAACATGCAAATCACATGTCTGTATAGCAAGTAATTGATAGTAGCTGGAAACACTCTGAACTTTGGTCAGCCAGGGAAACAACAAGGTCTTGACTGACAGTCATTACAAGCGTGGGGCCATACCTCTAGCTACACCCGTGCCCCTGCCCACTCCAAAGGTGGGTTCTGTACAGCCACTCCTCCTCCTCCTCCTCCTCCTCCTCCTCCTCCTCCTCCTCCTCCTCCTCCTCCTCCTCCTCCTCCTCCTCCTCCTCGAGTCATCATTTGCAATGAAGTTAGTGTTTGTAGCTGTCCAAAGCAGCATGTCACCATGTGCCTTAATGAAAGCGGCTCCCACTCCTATCTTTATATCTTTAGGCAGTGGTAATAAGGTAACTGATTCAGACATTGACAGATGGCCTCTGCTTGCCTCTCAGATGTGCATAATTATACCACTAGTGTCTGCTCTTTTCCACTGTGGCAGGCAGCGCAGGGCTTCTCAGGGTATGCCGGTAGGAAACGCTGCAGTGGTGGGTCTAGCGTTAATATACATTACAATACATTATTTATCAAGCAGGCATACCGGTCCTACCCTTTTACACCATATACATCCTGTAATGCATTACCGCTGCTGTGGTTTCTACTGGGACTGCGGGATGCTCACGTAGTGCTTTACCAGGAATACTTAGCCATTATATCACTCAGTCCCACAGGCCATTTTTCTGACCTCCACACAGCATGCAGTCTACATTTGTATCCTGTTTATGTAGATTCATATATGCATTATGAAGTGGTTGTTGGTGTGTGGTGTGTAAGGTATTCACATTTTTTACGAGGGATCACTGCTCTGTTTCACGTTAACTAAGTGGATGGGAATGGGGTAAAAAAGCATTTGTTTTTTTCTTCTTTGTTCATATCAAGATAACTTTTCTCACAAGAGTGGCAATCTGAAAGCTGCACATCCAGGAACATATAAAGGTAGCATTTACAGATTGACGGTTTATTTGGTGTATTTCTGAAACTGAGTGTTAATACTGTATGTGAGGAATAGAAAGGCTTGCAGGATTGTCACTGTTTGCGAGTGCAGGAGGGTTACTTGTTTTGTTAGTGCAGTCTCATCAGCAGAGTCCGTATCGTTTGAAGTCGCCTTCGATTTTTCCACCAGTGTGTGTAGCAGTTTTAAAATAGGATCTCTCTAATTAGGTAATGTAACAAAGAAAACAAATATTTCTCACACATTTAAACAAAGTTCTGGCAAATCCTCATAAACATTTTCATCAGTGAACGGAAATATAAACAAGATTTTTTTCCCTCTCCTTGTTTATGCTACAGTAATGAGCCTAGGATCTGCGCTTTTCGAGAGTTTGACAACGGCATGTTCCTTTCTCTGAGAGAGAGGAAATGTGACAGCTAAAATCTTCATAAAATAACGGCCTTTAGATGTGCTTTTCACTAAGACTGAGCGAGATGAATGTGCTATACATCAGCAGTGACTGCAGAGGGGTCACCCAGAGTTCTTTGCTGCACACAAGAATAGGACCTGTAGATGGAGCTACAGCACTGCTGGAAATGTAAAAAGAGGCACCAAGTAGTTCAGTTACTTTTCCCAACAGGAGCCATTCGTGGGAATAACTTGGAGTGAAATCCTCCATTCTGTGCATTACACTAAGACAGAAGTTTCTTGCACAAAAAGGAAGTACAAAAAAAAAACTATAAGAAGCTAAATGAGCATGTATTAGCCAGCCAAATTAATCTGTTTCAGAAGTTTAAAGTTGAGAACAATTTTGATTTTGATGAAATGGATGAAAGAAAAAGGATAATTTACACTTGAAAGCTGATTTTGAGCTTTGCTGTCATTAGACCGCTTTAAGTATTTAAGTAGAATTAATATTTTAACTTATGAGGTACCTCATCTGTCAGGAGTTAGACTAGAAAGGAACCTGTATACCTCATGTGAGTATTTGAACCGTTTTCTTTTTGTAAGTGCCAGGTAGCAACCGCTTTAGACATCATTTGACAGCCTGTGAAATGCTGATTGCCTCACATCACACACTGTAAAGATGGCATTTGATGAATGTTTGATGCGATGCAGCTGTAAACACACTTGGCAGCTGCGACGGGCACCTTTTTTTTGGGGAGGCTGATAAAATCATCGTCTCTCCCGATGAGGGCAGGACGGGGTCAGATCTGGCTCCAGAGGTCCCCGGAGACCACCTGTGTGGAGCCGCAGCAGTGGGGGCCATTAACCAGAACACCAGCCCGGCCGAGATCAAAGCTATAATCAGAGTTGTCATAATTGTTCTTGTTAACACTGTCCCTGAAAATGAGATGCTTTGTGAGTCTTGGATCTGCCTATTTGTGGTTTACTGCATTGCAGTGTGCCGGCCGAGCTTTTGTGAGAACAGCGAGAGGACTGCACGCCTGTGAATCGTCTCCTTGTTTTCACTCCGCATCTGTTTTCTCTCTGTTTGAAAAAGTTTGAGGTTCTAAAGGAGTGGGTTTCTTCAGTCTCATGGGGGTTACACTCTCCATCTCTGTGGCAGTGAGAGTTCTCACAGACTGAGTAGTGGGAATGTGTCTAGTAAAAAAAGAAAGTGACAGTGATGGGGATGTGTGTATTCATTGTTTTGAGTCTGAGATCTATTCATATTTAATCTAAGTCGATGGCTACTTGCAAACTGCTCAGCAGTGTCTTAAAGTTTATCACAGCATTATCATTTATCTGCACTGAATGGCTGTGTGTCAGTGGACAGCTCTTGAGGTTGGCTGTATGCAGCGTGTAACCTTGAAACATGTCCCCTTATTAGTGGGAATAATAAGCTTTCTGTGTTAATATTCACTTCATTAGGGCTGGAAATGGTTCCTATTTTTTAAATGTTTTGGGACATGTAGTTTTAAGAAATCATTTGATGCAATTTAAACAGACCAACTTCATCATTTTTATTTAGCGTTTATAAAAAGCATGAAGGTTTTATTTAGTACAAACAAGAAAAGCGTCCTTAGATGTATAAAAGCTGACTGCACTGAATAATCGTCTAGAGGTTTTATCTGTGCATCTGCTGTACTAAGGCGTTTCATATTATCCGTGTTTTCATGTATGCTTTGTGTTTAACCCCTTTGTGTGTGCCATATTATAATGACTGCCTTTAACATACTCGCCACCTTCCTAGTCACAGAGGACACTTTTCCCCAGGCAGCTGAGGCAGCGACCTGTCGGCCCCTGTGTGTGGCTGTTTCGGGGCCAGTCTTGGCCCCGGCGCGTTAATGTGCGTGTGAGCTGAGCTGACAGGGAGAGAGAGTCCATGCCACTCCCTCCCCACCTCCTCAGGGGGAAAGGCTCGCATGGCAGATCTGTCACCCAGGAGGTCGCTTAGTGTTAACGCTCCCGACACGGATTAAACACTAGTGGCCAGTGCCGGAGTGCAGGGTCAGTGCAGCCACCACTGACAGGCACCACAGGCCCCCGCTGACTGCCCCGCTCCAGCCTCGTACCGGCGCTACTCTGGCCCTGGCATGTGTCAGACAGGCGGGGAGACAACGGCCAGAGCTGCCCTGTGAGCACATGCTAATGCTCTGCATCACACGGCTCCTCTAACTCAGAGCGCTGATAAAGAGCCGCTATCTCTATCGTACTGCACTCTGCATGCAGCCTTAAAAAGGGAGGCATTTTATTCAGCTGCCTTTACAAAATTACAAGAAAAAATGTGTGAACACTGAAATAAGAGAAATAAGACTGTGACATCATTTTCATAATTTGATTTTAGTTTTGAATTTAACCATGGAATATCATTCTTAATGCTTATTTATAGCTATGGTTTCATAGAAAAAATATGCAGTTTTGTTGCTATTTATTGAGCTATGATTTAACAAAATAATAGTAATAATTGTTAACAAGTTCAAAACTGACTTGAGCTGTAAATATCTACGTACTGTACGCTCTACTGTATTTGATTTAAGAATTGAATCGTGAATTGCCTCACACTCCAGTACCGTTAGGACTGATTTCATCCCGCTGAAGAGGGACATGAGATTTCCTATTTTATTGCCCTCACTCCGGTCTTTCTCCCCCTCTTGCTATGTCTCCCTCTTTCTCCCCCCCCCCCCCCCAGTCGATAAGGCTTGAGCTGAGCGTATGTGAAATATTTATTCAGCGTTAGCTCAGAGCACCATGGCTGCCCACACACTCTACCTGCCCTGAAGAGAAATCTTATCTGTGCTTCCTCTGCCTCCGACACCCCCTGAAAGCCTGTCCCCACACTGGCCCAAGCTCAACACAAATTACATGTCTCATTGCTCTGCGTTTACAGCTACTTTAAAGCCTGCCGCTCCTGTCCCCAACATAAGCCCTCAGCCAGACTCTGTTTCAGGCGGGTTGAGAAAAAAAGAGACCTGCATGTGCTGAGCTGCTGCTTGTGCCTTTGATTCATTATTAATCTCCTTTTTTGTATTTTAATTGAGGAAGTAATGCAGATTAATTGTACTGCCCTTGACTTCACCCAGAAAAAAGACCAGGTTATTCAAGGTTTTGTAGAGGTTCCTATTTTCTATTCAAATAATACTTTTCATTTATTTTCTTAATATTTCTAAATCACATGTTTGCACAAAGTCACGCACGCAGATTAAGGCCTTTTTTTGTCCAGAAAACACACCGAAAACACACTTACCGGCACAGACAACCACACACAAACCCTGCAGCCTGTAGTCATTCTTGTTAAACTCTTTCAGTATATGTTCATGTAATTTGGCATCCGTCCATGGCCCCCATGACTGACCCTCATAATGCTGCCTGGCGCTCTCCTCGCTTTGTTTAGCTTTCCAAGTGGAGTGCATCGACAGGGAGTAGTGAAGACACAGCCAAGATTAAATCTTCCATGTTTTTGGATTGCACAAAGTCTTAAAAAATAAGGGTATTTTTGAAATGGAGTACACTAAACAAATAGCTGTTTTTAGTTGTTAGCTTGGTACAGTTATGATAGTGGATGACCACCCGTGATGTAACATTAAATTCATTTGGCTCATCAACAGTATTATGTGTGTAATACTGATGTTTACAGCCTGTTATCTGCTGTAGTGTATAGGAAGATCTGTTGGCAGCCTTGCAGTCTGGTGGTATGTCTGCCACTCAGTAGTTTGGGTTGTTAAACTGGGCAACCCCCTCTTCTGTTAATCAATTTACAGGATGGTAGAAACTCTTTTAGAGGGTGTCTTTGTCCCTTTGTTCCTGCTACGATCCCCTTTCCTCTCCTGGGAGAGTGTGGGTGGTGGGAGCTGCCATGCTTGCTCAGCTTTAAGTTATTTTATTCACACTTTTAATCGCTGAGTGCTTTATTATTAGGTCCTAGATTCTGCTGGCCAGGGGATCTGCATGAGAAGGCGAAGAATGCATTTAGTGGAATCATATTAATGGCACTATAAAACAAATCTGTCAGGCTGTTCTTAACCCTGCTGGCAGAATTGCTCTGCCCAGGGTTGCCCCCTTCTCCAAGCGCTTACAGGTGGCTAAGGAGAGTGCATCTCCATCATCTACTCCACCGCGTGTTAATAGTTTTATTAATTCATTCTTTTTTTTCTCCCTAGGCACCCTGTGCATAATCATACAGACATTTTTCAGCTAAATGGTGTTTGTCAAGGGAGTTTTCCTACATTAGAGACACTCCTCCCAGATATACACACTAACACTTGTTCAATTACAAGTCGTTCGTTATCCAATTCTGCTGTGTGTACACCTAAATGCTCAGGTATATCATTACTTATTACCTCCCTTGCTTTTGTTTGTTGCTTTATGGCCTTTTTGGTTAAATCAATTACTGTCTTACCACTCGTGCAACATATTATTAGCATTGTCGTCTTTAAAAAGTTCAAGGTTTTACTTGTAATGCGTAATTTGTTGAATGATAAACAAATCCGCCCTTAAAACTGAAATAGAGCCTCTTTGATTATTTTTCATACAAATGTACACTCACGCCTGAAAGGTTGCACTTTGTCCAACACGTCCTTTAATCACCCAGCTGCTTGCTAATAAAACATAAACCACTTAGTGGGGAATTAGTTCTGTCTCCATTTCACAGAAACTCTGGAGAATGTGGGGAGACAAGGGGAAGGTTTAGTCCTGCCTCTGCTCATTACTGCGGGATGTCTGACGGTAAAGTCTCATTCTGTGCACCTGAGTGAAGGAATCTGAGAGGTTTTCCCAGATGTTTCTCTCCCATCTTTTTTATTGGTGTTAAAAAAGCATGTAAATCCTGAACACATGGGGGAGGAATTGAGAAGATAGTTCTGACAGTTTTGGTTTATACCCTCATTTAAGCACTCAGTTTAGACACAAGGCATTGTATTTCTGTAGGCTTTTATCTTGTCCACTGAGCCAGAACGCGGTGAGCAGAAATTTGCATTAGTGGGCGATTATGAATACCTGTGACAGATTCTCTCTGCCGGCTCCCTGGGCGGAAATGAATTGGCTCCCTCTGTTGACTTGCACAGGAAGACAGAGACCAAGCAATTAGACTTTAGTGGTTAATGTAGCAGCTTTTGCAGGGAGGGCAAGGAGGTTCAACATTCCTGCTGGGCTCATGTCAGTTTCCAGGCACATTCTCCCCCCTTCTCTTACCTCTTTTTTATAAGAATACTGGGAATATGACAAGCTACCTGTCCGCCAGCCAGCTGAATTCCTCGGGGGTGAGGGGAGCGTCGCTTTCGAATTGCCTCATGGGAGCTGAGGTGACAACACATGACGTAGGTTATTCATAACACAGAGGAGATGTACTGCAGCTACCTCTGCACATCATGCATATTCATTGTTTACTTTTTTCTTCTTTTTGTATCCCCCACTAGCTCCAGTTTGTTGCTGCATATGTAATTCAAATGAGCCTTTAGAAAAAATAACTACTGTATAACATTTGTTAAATTCTGTATTCCTTGGTCATCCCGCTGTGTTTCCGCATGTCGCTTCGGTTCATCCACTATCTCCCAGGTTGTATTGGGGGATAATAGGCAGAACGGTGGTGAAGCCTAGGGCAGTAACACCACAGTGTTGTCGGCATTACTCACGGTTCACGTTTCCCTGGTGGCCGTTTGAACCGAGACCTGGTGTTGCAGTAGGTAGACCGGCCCCCAGAGCTACGTACAGGGACTCTGTATGGTCGCTTTGACAGGAGCAGTCTGCTGTTTACAGGCCTGCTATTGAAGCCTGAAGGCCCCAATGGTTCACATCCTGTCTCGGGCTAACTCGAACATATTGTTCATAGTCGAGGCAGCCTCAAGCTTTTAGAGGCTGCACATTGCTGCTATCGTGTGAGTACCGCTTAGCAGTTATACTCAACCTTTGAAATAAACTTGTAAAAATAAATACTTGTTAGGAAATTAGCATGTTGGAAAGTATGCACTAATTTTAGAAAACATATGTAAAGCGTGAGAAAAATCGACATTGTTAAAGACGTCTGTGGTAAATAAAAGCACACCATATGTCGAAATCACACTATAATAGATTTGAAAGATTCCACTTGCTGTGGGGGACATTTTTATTTCATCCCTGTCAACTGGCTGGTGTGATCCTCCTCACATTTCCTGATACTTTCAGTTGGAGACAGACTCATTAGGCTGTCACTAAATGGTTTTAAATGCAGCCGTCCAATTAGTGCTCTGCTGTGAAATGCAGTGGGTGTTGTGCAACGTGCTTAGCACCACTCCTTTACTGAATTATAAGGGATTACTCATTCAGTGTGATCCATCTTATTTCTACCAGGGGTCTTGGCTTTTCTCAGTATCATCGCCACGGAGGGGGTAAATGTTGCAAATGCTTCTCCAGTTGCCATAAGCGTCTCATCGGAGAGTCTTGCTGCCTCCGAATCTAAGAGGATTTGATGTGCTAGTTAAAAGACAGCATACCATGCCTATCCATGTCATACTTCCTGTTCTACCGTAAGGCGCTCTGCCAGCGCTGTGTTATTGGTGTATATAAATAGGATTTCAACATATTAAAAGTTGTCCCTCAATGTCTGTTACTTTCAAACCACTAAGAGTCAAATCTGTTGCCATCGACTGTAAATCTCAGAGGCTTTACAGTGTGTAGTACTTATCATGAGATTTAGGACGTGCTTAAATCTATTATATATTTTGTTTCGGGAACAGGCTTGCTGAGATTTGAAAGCTGAGCTCCTGCTACAGTGTGATGGGCTTTGCGTTATACTGTCATGTCCTGTCTTCTCAGATCTTCCTTGTGACGGTGTGGCACTGGGAGCTCTTCATGCTGCCCCTCTTCCTGCTGCTGCTCATTGGCTGGCACTACTTCCAGCTCTCTGCAGGGAAGGCCAGCTCCAACCAGGACCTGGTGAGTGATGAGGACTCTTCAGTATTCATCCTTACACATCTGTTGATGCATGCTGTTACAGTGCAAATTCAATCTGTATGGTAACCCACCTCTGGTCAACCCCTGAGGGAATCAAATCCTTTTGGCACACGTTAGGCAAATAGCAGTTTTACAGTAATGTCAATTAACACTTGCATGTACACTGGATAGTACTTGGCAATAAAAAGCACCTCGCAGTACAGCCAGTTGAAGCAGTATTCCATATGTTTTATAGCTAGTTTCGACATTTTCTCCAGAGACCTATTAAATCACCAAGCAGTAAGATGCCACTAAAATTAGATCACTGTAAATGTATGTTTAGCCTATAGTCTGTTGAGTCTCATCACATCTGTAAATGCAGGACTATAGTTCTCTACAAATATACAACTATCTCTACCTACTGTTGTGGAAATTCTGGTCGCCCTACACTTGTCTGTGAAGGTTAATGCTGTTCACACTTCTGACTGCCCCCCAATTTCACTGTGTTGTAAAGCCTCCTCACCGGCCGGCCGCGGGCCTGGCCTGCTCACACCCCCCCAAAAACAACATCCCCGGCCTGGTGATTGTGTTTATGGCTGCTGGCAAAGATACCTTCCCCGGGCAATGTTAAAGCCCAGGCTCACCCTCATATCCAGTGTTGAGACACGGCTACCCCTCTGTGACCCTCTGGCCGGTAGTGACACAGCTCTGTTCCCAGGCAATGTCACAGTGTGCACCACATTGGGGTCAGGGATGACTTGATATAAAGTGATCTAGGCAACAGCATCCAAATTAAATGTGTTTTTTTGTCCTCTTTCTGTTTTTCTGTGTGCTTATGTTGTGGAGAAATGAGATTGCTTTGGTGTGACAGTGCTCTTGTGAGGAAGGCCCTCTTTCACCTCTGCTTTTGTGTGAGGTCACCCCTGTGATGCAGTCTCTATGGAAACAAGCCTCTCCCAATAGGGGTGAATGTACTCAAAGAAAATTTCATTACTAGGTGTTTGTTAAAAATGCTCCAGTGCCCACATGTCCCGTTCGTTTGAAATCACCCTCTACCCTTTATTTTCTCTTAGGTGAACATGAGCATGGGTGACGAAGAAGAGGAAGACGAGAAGGTATTTTATTTTGTCTTTTTTTAACATTTTAAGGGATAATATGTTTTGGTGGAATCGCTTTTCTGTTTTCAATTTTTACAAAAATATATATTTTTATGGATTTCCATAAACAAAGAGGGTTGGAAACTTTACTCAAAAGCTTGTGGACAAAATGTATTAAAGCGTGGACCCTGCTAATACTTATTTCTGAAACATGAATCAAGGTTGAATCTAATTGTATTACCTTTGGTGGTTCAGAATGTCTTTTATTCTTATACAAATTAAGAAAATGTTTTTCTTAAAATTGTTATACCAAAGAGCCATACCGATTCTATTCAGTCTTTTAGCATAGTCACTATGAAAGTGACTTCTCAGAAGCTATTTTCAGACTGAGAATAGAAATATTTCATGCATCCTAAATGAGGGCAACATCTTTGAAACATTTGTAGCGTGTAGATCTTTATCCTGTTCCTCTGGGTATTCAGAGTCACTTTATAAATTCACTCCGGAGAGATACTACTTTGAAAATCTTTAAATCCAAACAGCACCGTCAATTCGATTTTGCACGGTTGTTGCGGCTAAAATCGACAGATTTAGTTGTTGTTGTATTATCATTTTCTAAATAGGATAGTTGTGTTGAGAATAACCTTTTACTACCAGAACAAAGTAAAATAACAGCAGTTAACTTATACTTTGCTCCAAAAGGTTATCAGTCATTCTAACGTGTTCGTTTGTGAGAAGTCATAAATGATAATGTTTATTAATGTATCTCTCTAGCGTCTCTCTTGAAAAACAAAACAACAGGAAAGCTTTAAGTAGCCTGAAAATTATACTTCCCCGCAGCACATAATATTCAATTACACTCATCCCACTGTTTTTCTGTAAAGAAGGCAGAGTTAACAGGGATGTGTATTATTGCTTTATGGCAATGAAGTGTGGAGCTAACGCAAAGCCTCCAAGCAATGACCCTTGTGCTGCGTGTCTAGGCCCAGGATTCATATCCATAATGCGCTCAATATATTCTGTTGTGATGACCTGAGGCTATGAACAAAGCCAGCTTCTTTTAAAAACACAGGCACATCCACCAAATCCTGTCTGAAAGGATGGGCTAATTCACAGATGAAACTCGCATGATATGTCTGCACAGAGCGGGAAGCCGCCTTGCTATCATTGCTTGGAACGGGCAAACTGGTGCTTAAACAAACAACAGTGACACCGAATATCTGTGTATTTATGCATATTGAATCGAGCAGGATTACATGTATGCACTGCATTTAATATCATTGCTATACAGACTCTTTTTGCATTTGTCTTTACCTTGACACCTCAATATATAATAGAGGAATGTTTACTTTTTAGTTCAGAAAATGGCAGTGTCTTTAGAGAGGTTTAAGAGTCTCAATATATGCTGCATGTGTTTCTGTACTCTTAAAGCTTTTTGAAAGGTTTTCCATGAGCCTCCCTAAGCCCTTTCACACTCGGAGGAAATGAAATATCTCCTTTCATTTGTTAATTAACCAGTCACCCATGTTTGTTTTAAGCTGTCAGCTTTAATTTAAAGTGGCTTTTTTGAAAGTCTTGTTATGGTCTCGCTGTCACTTGAATGTGAGATCATGCAGTTAGATCAAGCAGTGTAGCTTTACACCTCCTATCAAAGTCTTCTTTACAAATATTTGGGGTTAAAGAGTGATCAGTGTTAAATTTGATGACTTCAAAGCTTTTCCTTTTTTACCCTAGTCTTCCCTCTAACATGTGAATAAAGGCTTTTCCTCTGAGAAGGTTATGATTACCCCTCAAATGTGTTTTTATCCCCCTTTTCCCCCTTGAGGAAGGAAATGTTTAAACCTTAGACAGAGTGGCAAAAATGTGAAAGCATGACGTTAAAGAGAGACGAAAGGCAGTGTTACACCAGGATAATACAGAACAGATTCTCTGCCTGTGAACAAATCTGTCCTCGGGGAAGGAGGCAGCTTACAAATTATGTGTGGGCAAAGTGACTTCCCTTTGGCCTTAGGTATCAATTGTGCAGATAGACAATATTTAATCATAACATAAAGAAACCGAGGCAAAACCATAGATCTCCAATAGAAATGAAAAGGGAAGATGAAACGGGCCCTTCAGTGCCCCCCGGCTGCCAGTGTGGGTCTGGGGTTGACTTGCTCCGAGAGCTAGCCCTGGGGAGTTTGGGGGAGGGGAGAGAGAGGATGTAGTTGTGGGGGTGCTAGACTGGGCTAGGGGGTTACTCCATCTCTCACCCGATAGTCCACTGTCACCGCTGGGTCTCCTTGAACACACCAGTCGGACAGACTGTCCATGTCATGATCTGCGGTGTGCCGAACATGCCCCCGCCCCCGCCCCCCCCAACATATGAAAGCCTCTGAGAGCTTTTCTGTGTTTTATGCTTGCAAATTGTTTAGTATCTTAATTTAGCTGCATGTGAGATAATTTGCCTGGAACACAGGTGTTTTTCATTTAGATGCACTTCTTATCTTTGTCAAAAAAGTCACTAGAAAATAAATCTAGTCTGAGAATTCAAATTTGGCAGCGTTTATTCTAATTAGAGCGATGCTAAATGAGCTTTTTTCCTCCAGCGTTTGATAACAGCCCACATGTCTATGAGAGTATGTTTACCTTTGTGGAGGAGATCAAATTGGTTCTCCATTACCGCACCTTAAAAGCAAGCTTTGACCATTTTATTGGAAATGAGAATATGATTTCACACAGGTTTTCTAATCAGCAGACATTTAGGATTCATTTAGTCCATCTCCAGCTCACTCATCCTGTTCCATTTCAGAAGGAGATATTTTATTTATTTGTATTTCCTCTGCACTCATGTTCTTGCTGAAAGAGAAATGAACAAAGATAAAGAATATCATCAAATGATTAATGTAAGAAGGAATTTATTTTTGGTCGCTAAGGATGATTTCAAGAATCTTAAAGCACATGAATAATGATAATCACGAGAGCTCTGCCTCTCGATGTGTACTTCAGAGTACATCTATTTGTCTGTTTTCTCTTTAGAAATTAAAGCCAATATGGTTTCTCTTTTCTCCTGCTGGAGCTTTGTTTCTGGCTAAATTGACCTTGCATGTGTATTCAGTGCATTTAAAAAATGCTTCATATCTCTTATGAGATTTGAATTTGAAATCATGTAATTTGGTCGTTTAAACATCTTTAAATGGACATTTAAAAAGGAATGTGAGCCTCACTGATGAGGCTCCATATCCAGTGAGCTATCCTCTCTCAAAGTGTGGCTCTGGGCGTCCATCAGGTGCTCGCTGGCACGGATTGTAATGGCTTTTAGCAGACTCTAACAGTGTTCCCCGCTTTCAAAATAAACTTTGGATAAAGAGCTCAATTAACACCTGATGTGGAGTAAAGGACATGCATGAAGGCTTGCTCAGCCCCCCCAAAGCTGCAGAGTGCAGGATGATGATGCATAAACACAGATAGTCCTCTTTCCCCACGATCAGACCATGAGATGCTAATCTCAAAAGGAGCATATTTGTGATAGTTTTTCCTTTTTTGGACAGTGCTGGGCCTCCAGTGTCTGTCCAGATCCCAGCCCAGTGGGGGAGGCACTGCGAGTGTGGGAATTGCTCTCTTCCTGCGCCTTTCGTGGAGAAGAGTGGGCCTGACAGTGGGGAGTCTCTCTGTGCTGGCAGTGCGTGTTTTCCCAGGGGCCGCCTCATGAAGCTCTGATAAAGGCATTCTGTCTGGACCCTGTCAATGCACACAGGCTGCGGCTTCGGCTGACTTGTAACATAAACATATAGACATCCCCAAGCCTCCTGCTAGGGTCCATCAGAGCGCCCTCCCCCAACACTCTCATCCCCCCTCTCCCACTCACTCTTCCTCTCCCGCCCTCTGTCATCATTCCTGTCATTATTTCCTCCTTTTGATGTGAGGCTTCTCAGCCCTCTTTAGCTTGTTACTTGTTATCTCGAGTCACTCCTCTGCCTTTGGAAGGCTTCACAATTCTTGCCTTGATGTGATCACATTTATTTCATTTTGAGACCCTCCAACCCCCTCAAATGTTGACTTATTGCTTTGCTACACACAGTCATCATTATCTACAGTAAGTGCATTAAAAGCAAATAATAACTCATGTGTAAGGAGGGCTAGAGTCATGAGAGGGAAAGAGTTTACACATCCAACCGGCGTTCTATTCAACGTGACGTTTTTTTCTAATGCAGGGAAAGTGTTTGAGTAGGTAAGAAAGCCTGGCCTGACAGATCTGAACAAACATGTTCAAACTTGTCCTGTGCGGGCTGCTGGATAGGAATCTTTAGGCCCCTGCTCTTCTTGTCTAGGCCGTCTAATCTGCCTGATTGCGGTTGGCCATTTTGTGTACTTTTCATCTACCGGAGAGTCTTGATTGTGCGGCACTTGTGCAACAGCTCTATTGTGTGTGGCGGACAAAAGCTCAAATCTCTCAGCCGTCCACAGAACAGCTTCTGAGCACTGAGTCTGTCTCATCTTCAAAAGCATAGTCTGAAGATGTACAGTGTTTGCTCATTATGGGACATTCAATAGATAAATCACACATAATAGCAGAGCTTAGATAAACTGCTCTTTGTCTACCCTGCCCAACAATTGACATGCAGCGTACCTCATCAGTGTCTGTGCATTTTTTTTTTTTGGCTCCAGTTTCAGGAATCTGGAAAGAAAGGTTTGATGGATAAGATACATATGGTGCAGGAAGTAGTGCTGGTTGTCCAGAACGTTTTGGAGGAAATCGCAAACATCGGAGAGAGAATCAAGAAGTAATTTCACATTTCATATTAATCATACTTCTTTTTTAATTAATTAATGTTGTTTGTTTATATAATTTCGCATTAATCTGACACCATTATTCTCTTAAAGCATATTCAACTGGTCTGTCCCATTCCTGTCGTGCATGGCCTTCCTGATGCTGTTTGTAACAACAGCACTGTTGTATTATATCCCTCTTCGATATATCGTGCTGATATGGGGTAAGTTCAACATCTAAAAACTCTTAGTTATTTCTTACAATTCTGAATGAAAACATAAAATATGTTTTTTAAAATCGTATTGGGCAATACAAACTCCCACCATTTGTTTCTTGATAAATGCTTCATTACTGTGATTAAACTCTCCTAGCAAATTGTATAAAAATCGACGCCCTTAGCATAGTAGCAAAAAACAACACTTATTCAATCTTCCTTACTGCACATCTTTGATTTAATGAAGCACAGTCATTTAAGAACTGTGCCATGCCTACACCTCTGCAGAAGCACAGGGATCAGACAGCTGAGCGGATTTCTCTGCTCAGTGTGGGCTGATGTAGCAGAGGCGAGGCCTAAGGTTTGTGTGCAAACAAAGCAGAGGTAGAGTAGCAAGCTGTATATAATACATGATGTCCTTGGGCAGTCTGTAGGCTCCTGGTCTAGCCTCTCATTATCTGCTGTAGTCATACAGAATAGACAGTCATCTCAGTGGTCAGGGAGATATGCTGCCCTTAACAGGCTCTCCTCCTCCAGCTGTAAGCCCACAACCACTGTACTTCCACACTGCCTTCAACACAATCAATACCAAAAAACCATCATATCAAACAAAAAACACACAGTCGGAGACACTCCTCTGCCTCCCCAGTTAACCCCCATCTCAGTGGTTGCAAGGCAAGCCTTTCAAGTTGCTTGCACATATTTAAGTCCTTAGGTTCTTTGTCTGCATGTTGAGGTACAGGCAGTACCAAGCTGTGAATATAATGGTCCCATTACAAGACCCCATAGATGTTGTTTTTTTCTCTGTGGTGTGCAGCCATGTGCAAAGTAAATATAGATGTGCTATAAATGATCAGATTGAAGCAAACAAAAGTAAAGAAACATTTTCTTATGAATCTTTGGCTCTTTTACAAACTAGAGCTATCATTATTTGTCTTCTGTAATTGATTACATACTGCTGTATCCATATCCATCTCTATTGGATTGGTCTGGCTTTAATTCAGTTTGACTGAAATGGATCAATTGAAATGGCATCATATAATGCAGTTACGAAACTCTATACCTAGATAAGGTTACAAAACTCTTTTCATTAGTGTAACTTTTTACGCTGTCATTAATGCTGGTTGTTATGACACCTTTTTATTTATTAATGTGTTCTTGTTTTCACAGGCGTTAACAAATTTACCAAGAGGCTGCGCAACCCACATACTATTGACAATAATGAAATACTGGATTTCCTCAAGAGGGTGCCTTCTGATGTTCAAAAGGTAAGGGTCCAATTTTACATACAGATAGGGAAGGAATTCCCTGAAGATGGCCGCATTATTTGCTGTACCAGAATTCCCAAGTGTTGCAGAAATATATCCTCTGGCTTTGTTTGATTATTAATGGACTCTCGCCTTTAAAGCAGCCCCGGCCCAATTATTCCTCAGTTCAGCTCCATGTTGTCGTCGCATTGCCTGAGTGAGGAGATGCTCAGATCCGTCCTCAGCCATATTTCTGCTGCCTCGTCCGTTATTAGCAATTTTGCCTGTCTGATTGAAGCGCTGTGACATTAAATGTGGTGATTGGCCGAGGGCCGGCGGAGGGCTCCTGACGTCTCTGGCTGTTGTGTCAGCGCAGAAACTCTGATGTGGCCTCAGTCACTTCTGGGTGGTGGAGTCAATTAATGTAGTCGTCTAGCCAGTCCTCTTGCCGGGTGCCATATGTGATTACATATTAGCCATGGCTGATATGTCATTTGCATTTACATCACAGAGCTGAGGAGAGCTGTCAGGCTGTTGTAAGTGGTGCTGGGCGCTCGCTGTTCTCTGACTGAGGATTTTGCTCGGCCAGGAAATGAAGTGCCACACAGCGCCTTCATCTCCCAGGTAACTCGCCAGACTGAATTCAGCGAGAAACCCTGACAGTCTGGATCTGGAAAGACACTCTCACCCCAGTCTGTTTCTCTGCTGCACCCTTGATGTCCTCCTGCAGCAAGCCGTTGCTGACTCCTCTGTGATGTTGGAGGGAGCCTGTGTTGTTTGAGATTTGGCTGACTGAGTTGGCAAAACAAGGTGGTGAATACATTTTGATTCAGAATCCTTTGTATGTCTTCTTCCCCGTTGGGATACGATGTTTGAGCTTTGAAAATGACTCACTTTCAAATCCCAGGGAAACAATACTTTTTAGCCTGGTTTAAAAGAGAAACTACATCTTGAAAATAGCTCCAATCATGAAAAAACAAAACACCCTTAAGATTCATCATAAGTACGTTTCATTATGTACTGAGAAAAATAACCTTAACATCATATACACAGGAGACCCAAAACAATAGTCCACATATTTTGTTTTTGTTGACTTAGAACTTCAATCCTCAGATAGGTGTGGACATAAAAACAACACAAAGGCTGGAAATTGACTCCTGTCTTTCTTGCAAATGTGACTTGGCAATTAGTGCCTGTGCACATCTACAAAGTGTGCCTCAAACGGGGACTTCTGACAACACTGTGTCTGTCCTGAAATAAGAAGCATCTGTCAGTTCTGAGGACAGTTTCATGTTCTGATGCAGGAGGCAGTCACTTTGTTCCGACATTCCATCTCCCATTCTAATAATGGAGACCGGCTAATTAGCATAGAGTCCTTACCTTTATTCAACAGATTCACTGTATTGTTTGAGCTCAGCAAGCATGCTTCAAAAGCAACTTTTCAAATTCCAGCACTTTTCCTTTGAGTTCACCCTATGATCAGTCGTCTTTGGATTATGGTGGCAGTTTTGGGAGAAAAAAAGATGGACAGTTGAATCAAATTTTTTGAATGTCAAAGAAAACATGATTCTACAACATACATTTAGTTTGTAAATCCATTTAGACATCAAGACATTTCTGGGAGAAAAAACATGACAGAAACTACTGCATCATGAGCTTAATTCTACACATGTAACCGGCAGAAAAAAGAGGGGTTGAAAGCTCAAATGTCACATTTCAGGTCCCATTTTTCATCAAAGTCACACCTAGGTCTGTAAAGCTGCGAACAAAGTTACGCGTCTGCTGATGTAACTCTCGCTTTATAGCCTACGATTCTCAGGCTTGAACAAAGTTTTCTTCAGGGGACATAATTTGCAGTGAGTGATTATGCAGTTTGCAACTCCTTCACTGGCCTGGCAGGTCATCTCAACAGTTGATGTCTGTTTCTAATATTGTGATTGTGGTGCAGAATGAGGGGGGCGTATGCTGGTACGGAACCCTTGACTCTTCAAATCCTTCCTCCCTGTGATTAATCCCCTCTGCTCCTGTGTTTAAAAAATGATTCATTACAGCCAAGCCCGCCTCGCTTTCCCCTGCACCAGCTCTCCTCAGGGGAGCCATTACCGTGCGCTCCACTGAGCTCGGATTACCTGCCTCTGACCAAACTCCTGTTTGTTTTTACAGGTGCAGCACAGCGCGATCAGAGCGCCCACCAGCCAGAACCAGCCGCGGAAGAAAAGGTAAGCTTGGTGGACACGCTGGATGAAAGGCTGCTCTTCTTTTTGAATACGGTACAACGCGGCCCACCTGACAACAATGCCTCAGTACCAGCAGAGCCTGTGACCCTGAGCCCCTCCCCCCCACACCACCCTAACTCTGCCCCCTGCTGCTGAGGGGCAGCCGGCCGCTCTCTGGTTTGTGTGTTTGCCACCCCCCTGACAGAGGCTGTGAACTGCAGCAGCGAGGAGGCCAGCACATGGCGCTGTCAATCACAAGCCTGGAGGTAAAGAAAAGAGAGCGCTGCGAGGCTGAGCCTTCATCTTCGGATATCATTTAGAAAAGGAATGAAAAGCGTCGGGCTCGGCTTACCTTAGACCTCCACTGTTTTTTTTGGGACTTTGGTGAAACTAAGAAATATGCCTTCAGGTTAAGTTAATACAGGCCTAGCAGTTTATCAAAAACAATCCATGGATTTTTTTTTCTTTAACCATGTTAATATAATTAAAGGACATTTTGCAATAGATTTTTTAAATAATCATCAAAATAATATGTTTAGTTGCACATTAAAAATATTAGGACAGAGTACTGAATTTTACTTTTTTTTTTGTGGTATGGATTTCCTGTATATAATATATTGCTTTCTTAATTCTCTCTTTGAACCAAATATATATTTATGTACTGCAAGTGTATTATTACCAGCTGCCTTTATGTGTATATATTTTTACTGAGTATATGTCTGCATCATCAAATGGAGAATTAGCAGAAATGCTGAATAAAGAGTGTGATCAGTTTTGCTCTTGCTTTTTCAATAACTGCACTCCAGCGAGGTTGGATTACACCACTTCTTTACTTGAATACACAGTAAACACATCTGATTACACAGCACAGCCATTGGAACAGAGCTCACACACCGGCCACCGCTGCGCCTTGGTTACCGAGCTCACATCAAAGCTGTGTGGCTCCAGTGTGCTTCCTAATGCATTGCTTTGTTGCCTTCTCACAATAACAGGGTCCAGATGAGAGAGAAAGAGCTCATCTCACAGAGAGTACTCTCCATCCTCAGCACTTAGTGCTTTACATTTCCACTAAAATCACCTGGCCTATCTAATGGTTACACACACATACTCTGCTTTTTCCATCTGTCTCCCCACAATAGTATTTCCAAGAAGAGGGTTGAAGTATATCCTCTAACAATTCTCTCATCCATATTTAGTTTACGTATAAAACGTTTTTATTGACACCTTTGGCCATTGTGATTTTTGCAAATCTGTTCTACACAATTTCTGATTATTCTCTCAAAGACAAAAAAAACGAGTTCCTTTTAAAATGTTATCAATTCATACTGCACTAATTCAACATAATGGCTAGAATATATTAAAGCCCGCTTACGATGCTAATATTTTTGCATCAAAAAGAAGATTACTCCTTTTACCTGCTTTCTGTCTTTTTGATAGTAGACAAATATTTCTCTTTCGAAATATTCATAGTTGGGACTGAAGTTGGGCTGAACTGAGGCTTGGACCCCACCGATGGGAGTTTGTTCTGACTGATTGGGGGACTGAGCATCGCGGCCGGGTGCCCCCCTCCTCAGCAGTATAGCACGCTGGTGAAAGAGCATCCATCTGTGCTTTGTGAGGAGTTTGATTGGCTCAGGGGGACCTGGTGGAGCCCCGGGCTATCTCTTTTGACAGGCTGATAGAGACATCACTGGGATCTCCCAGGAGCTGCCACCAGGGGTCCATTTCAAAGTGAGAGGGTGTGGAGGTGACCCTGAGCTTCTGACGAGCTAAATCCCACACACTGGCTGTAACCCTTCTACATTCTTGGCTCCATTGGGGCTTGGGGGCTGGTTTTGGCTGTGCTGGGAGGAGGGCAGCGCTGAGGAGGGAGGGGTGTGAGGTACACAGATCACTGGCAAGACCCGATGAAGTGTCCCCAAGAGGTGAAACCAATTAAGCAAAACTCCCAGGGCAGTTTTTTATTAGACATTTCAGAAAACATACAAATTGCAGCGCTGGCCATCTATATCTCATAAAGCCAAATTCAACTAAAAGGAACTCACTTTAGGGAAAAGCCATTTTAAGTTGAAATATTATTGTGTCAGATATATCATTGAGGCAAATGCTGGCTCTGACATTACGAGAGGTCAGATGGGAATACGGTTGCCTGCCTCCAAGCTGTCAGATCTTGGGATCAGTGGCACTGAGGTTGGACTTGGATGTTCCCTGTATCATTCATAGTCAATGGATCATACAGAGGAGGCTGTGCATGCACCAATGCTCATGATACCTACTCATACACACATTGGATGCACACACAAAAGCACACAAAGCTCAAAGAGGTGTAATCATATTTAAAGAATTATTCATCAATGTATTTTCTCCTGGGGAGGCTCATGTCTCAGCAGAGGAAGTCACTGTGCAATATGGTCCCTCAATGCAGTGGGGAAAATCCCTGGATGTTTTACAAGCTTGCTAATGAACATTTGAGCCACACAGCAGTTAACATTGTCTGATCACATTTTTTCTCCAGTAGATGTTGTTGTTGTTGTGCATGGTGTGGCAGTGATGTCTTCATCAGCCTGTCAAAAAGGAAGTGCCTGCAGCTGTGGCAGATCCCCCCAGAGCCTGTCACACTCCTTGTTTCCATGGCAGTCCTTCAGGCAGCACCACAGGCAGGCTGTGTGCAAGGACCCATACAACCTGTTTTTTCAGCAGCCGCTCCTCTGATGTTCAGCCCCGGAGCGAGCGTCAAACTACCAAGTGCAGAGAGAGAGAACACTGCACCCTTTCTCTGTGTCGGAGTTCTGTGCTGCTTTACAAGGAGATGCATAGCAAAAAAAACGTCCTCATTTGAATAAGCCACTATTCGCAGCACCTCCTTAGTAATTGTTACATGTGCAGTGCTGTTAAGGTTCTATGACCTCCTCTCTGAGAGACATAATGCTCACAGTAGGACAAAGTAAGGAAAGCACGACTCATCGTTGACTTACATGTGTTAAAGCTCTTATGCATGTGTTATTTGGTCCGCTTGTACCACCTGAGAAGCAGGTCATGGAGATCAGTAGCTGCGCTCCGAGTCCCAACTGGCCTAAATTAAAGGTGCAGAGGTTACGGTCTGCCTTCAGTCAGAATCTTGACACCAATAAAGAGCAGAATTTGCCCGCAAATTAACTTGGCGGAAACACAATCTAATGATATGAGTTTGCTACAGTTACATTATTTTGCCTATGTGAGCATATCTACCTGAGGAGGCTGCATGCTTTAAAAATGATGCTGTAGCCCGCTTAAGCTGTTTGTTGCAGGTATTAACTTTACCAGTCGGCACATTGCTTTCGTCTCTCCTGATGAAAGAATATATAAATCATGGTAACCAGGATTGATGTTGTCTCTGGGAATAAGATGGATTTAACAACTGAGAGAAAATGGTCGCTAATAACAGCTGTTTTCAGTAGCTCCAGTTAGCTAATATTGTATTTTGTGGCCCACAGTACACACTGGTGTTAAGACATGGCAAAAGCCATAATTCTTTATAGCATTAAATAGAAGATGGCCTTTAAGAGATGAAATTAAATCATTGGCCTTTAAAAGCATCCCTCTAAGGGGCAAGCTGCATTAATAAATTCAACTGATTCTGCTTTAATATTATTCAGAGTGCATTAAAATGAAGACAACAGCTGGGATCATGCCCAGTCTCAGGAGTATTGCCCGGGCCAATGAGTGCCGGCGAGATGCAAAGCATGTCTGAGCGCAGCCCTGCGTTGTGGACGGGGGGCACAAGGTCTCAGTGTTACAGGTGCAGGCCTGACAGTTGCTGTACTGGGATCAGAGGTTGTTGGGTACTGACACCGGCAACAGGACAGTGACTGCCTGCCTCAAAAGCAATGTCACATGGGAACAGACACCCAGCCAATCAGACCTTTACTGCCACAGTCATGACTGAACTGCTTATGACAACCTTCAAACTGTTAAATGCTTTCTTTGTAAAGCTATTGTATGGAATAGTTATGGGCTTACTTTGTTTTGTTGAAAAATTGATAAACTGTAGGAGAAAAAAAACTGCACTGTGGCTTTGAAAACAGGAGAGGGAATAAAGTGTTAAGCTTTCTAACATTTGGTGTTACATCAGTGCTCTATAGTTAGCATGAGCACCCGCGTCAGGGAAAACAATACAAAGAATAATTGAACTGCATATTTTACTCTAATTAACAGTGATATAACGCAATGTGACTCTCAGCCTCCTGAGGAAAGAGCACCATATTTTGTTTGATGAATCTGCTAAAGCCACAGCTAGTCTCGCCACTAACCCCTGGGGAATCAGGTATCATTAGAGATATGAACAGATCTGCTTTTTGTCGCTGAAAGAAGGGGAAAACACATTTCCTCTGTGCTGGCACATGGGTGGATGTGAAAGTGTTCAATATTAATAGCCTTTCATCAAGGACACAATTAGGACACCTCTATTTGACACATTCTATAGGTTCTGAATGAATATGGATATATGCTCCCAAGGAAGGAGCCACTGGCTGAATAACAAAGTGAAATCTCCGGCAAACCCAGCAGAATAAAGAATGCACAACATGACAATCAGGAGCTGATGTATTTTGATCCAATGTGAATTTAAAAGAAGCAAGAGACTCTAAGTGTATTATTATTAGCCCGATTTATAATTCACGGCCCAGGGCAAGTTGTATATTTATCCAAATTAGCATACATTCCGCCATACAAACACAAATGCAGCACACACATTTAAGGGGCCACATTTCTTTCATCTGGTACACTTGAAATATTACTTCTCTTGCTTGGAAAACACATTGACACTACCTGTGTGTTTCAATTTCTCTGTTGCTTTCAAGAGATACAAAAAAATACTAAACGATTAAACCTTAACACTGGTCATGGATCAGTCAGAGGTTCAAAAAGAGAGCCGATCTGATTAGTGAGTGCAGTTTAGTATATGTCATTTTCTACACCAGAGGCTTGTGGTGCTGAATGCAAAGCTAAGGTGTGAAGAGGGCTGTGGTGAAGTGAGGAAACTAATCACATGTGTTTCACCCCTGAGCACCGTCTCCTCCAAGCTCTGCCACATTATGACACAGGAGAGTCATGTAGCACACGAGCACGGTTAGGCCCATTAACCAGAGCGGCTAATTATCGGCTTCTACAAGGTCTTCAAGCTCTCAGGCAATGCATGTTCTCATTTCTGATTAAAAACATAAATGCATGCAGAAAAAAGAGGATCAATTACAGCGAGGCAGAATAGATAACAGCCCGTACCAGAGTAATTAGGCTGGCTGTTTCATCGGAACCGCTTGCTCTGTGATGAAGCTTTAAAGAGTCCAGTGGCAGAAACACCACAACCGTGTTTGTTTTATTTATGATGTTGCAGTGTCACCCACTGGGGCCCAATTAGCCTGCGACTGATGCCTTGGAAAGCATCTCACTGATCCTCTTTGACAGGAAATGAAAGCCGCACTCACGTATGTCCTTCTAGTGACCCGTGGGCTTCAACCTGTTAAGGGCAGACTGGCCAACAGCAACGACTTGAACGTGCCACCACAACCCCCTTCCTTCTTCCAGGCCCTTTGCCAGTATATTTCATACCATTTAACTGTGTCAACAGAGGACATTAGGGATAATCTGCCAGTTGTGGAAGTGGTTAGGCTCCACATTCGCTTTCTCCTGGCTGATTTGATCGTGATGCACTGTAATGTATGTAACAGCCTTTCTCAGCGTTCCTTACCCACATGAGGGAGCACCACCATAAGGAATGAGCCTGATTGCAATGTTG